GCTACGATTCTGTTTGGAGGGAAAACGTGGGGTGGTGTTTTTTTTCCCTTCTGTGGCATGTGAAAATGAGCATTCCCTCATGACTAACGTGCTCTGACTCAGGACTATTGCACAGCCTCGTATTTTCATTCAAGAACTTTCCCTTGGAGGCTTTTTTTTGTTCTTCTAAAACCCGTTGACTTGTTTTTTTAAAATTGAAAAAAGCCAAGTTGAGCACTTAAACCAGCAGAGAGCTGAGGATCAGAGGAGGTAGCTCAGGATGGGAACCACTGATGCCACCCACACCTGTGAATTGGGGTCCATGGGACCAGGAGAGATGCCTACAGGTAGGAAAACCTTCTTGGATCAAGAGGGGGTTTGCAGGAGCAGGCTGCTGGCTGCCTCTTGTCACTTTGAGAAGCTTTTAAACCCTGTAGGTTTGTTTGGTGTTGTGTTGGGGTTTTTTTTGCCTGCATTTAATATTCTGCATCTGCTTGTTCTGCTGCAGTAGGTAATAATTACTTGAGCAGAATAAATAGCAGGTTCTGAAATAATTTCAGGAGGGGAAAGAGGGAAAATTGAAATGCTCTGAAAGGAGGAGGGAGTTAGAAAATGTTTTGCCAGCTGGCAGAGATGTGGCTTTTAGGGAGGACCAGGCAAATTTGATCAGTGCTGGCAGAGCTCGGGTTCAATTGCCCTTCTAGCGTTTCTGGACGTGTTATTTTAAGCAGCTGCAATTCCTCCTTGGTGGGGCTTTAGGCTCATTTCTGAACACTGTAAAATGTTTCTAATGCCAGAATATAAAAGCAGTTCTCTGGGACAGGGGTGTCTGTAGGGTGTAAAATGCAATGTGATGCTTCAAGGGGCTCCTGTTGGCTTTCACAGTGATGGGTCCTGGATCCGTCCCGGGAAGTTAATTGAATTGCATGTACTTTAGGATGAGACACGACTGCTGAATTCCCTTGACTGCAGCTTTTTGAGGGCACAGAGTTGAATTTTAGCCTGTAAACAAACTGAAGCCCAGCTCAGGACAAGCAGAGAGCACCTGGAGATCCAGGATGGCAACCTGCTCTAGTGGGAGGTGTCCCTGCCCCCGCAGGAGGGTTGAATCTAGATGATCTTTAATGTCCCTTCCAACCCAAACCGTTCCATGGTTCTATGATTTCAACTTTTCTGGCACTCTGGAGGGGTGGTGGGTTGAGTACTGCATCCCCACTCAATGCAGACAGGACAGAAACACTCTGCTTTGCTCATAAGTAATAAAAACACTGCCATGGGATTTTTCTCCTGTGGATCTGCTGAATAATTGGAAACAGGAGCTGGCTGGGGTGCTTTAGCTCCCTATTCCCAACTGCTTTGAGTTTCTTGAGCCTTTTTCTTTTTCAGAATTTGGAGCAGTGCTCTAGAAAGTCCTTTTTCCACTTTGCAATCCAGGGGAGGTTAGTCCCAGTCTGCTGTTCCTGTGCCTTAACCTGGATCAGTGGCAGGTCAGGCTCGAAGGGTTGTTTTGATGGTGACTTGTCTGGTGGGAGTTGAGTCTTGTTTTTCTTAAGAAAAATAACACAGCGTGGGTGTGAAAACTCAGAGGATGTTTTTTTTCTTACCCTCAAATGTTTAGAAAATGAGGCTCTAGCAAAGTCAGTGCCTCTGAATATTTAGAATATTATCAAGTGGTCTGATAAGACCAGAAAAATCTCAGTGCAGCTTCTGCCTCCCCAGATCTGTGAAAGGACCTGGGATTTTAAGCACTTGAGGGGTTTCCCTGCTCCTCCTGCCTTTTTAAAATTGGCCTTACAGGTGCTTTTCTAACCCCTGAGCTGTTTTGTGCCTGTAATTAATTTGCTGTGTTGCTCCCAAGCCTGTTCTAGAGGATTGAAATTAGGATTTACTAGCAGGGGAAAAACAACAAAACCCTGCCAGCTGGGTGTGCTTCCTTGCCCTTCTCAGCTGGCTTTCTCCAGCAGGTTTTGGACGTTATTTAAAGGGTAAATAAAAGCTGTTGGGAAACACATAATCTTTGCTTCTAACCCTATCTAACACAACAGATGTCTTGTGTGAACCTGTTGAGCTGAGGCTTATGCTTGGTGTTGTCACCCACAGGTGTCCCATTGCACCTGATCTGGATGCAAATGCACTTGGGGTTGGTTCCCCTGCAGGTTTTCAGGGTGTGAAATGCCTGCTGCTCCAGCTGGGTAGATGTGCTGCTCTCTGCTTTCCTAAGCTCTTGAGACAGGGACCAACCCTCATTCCTCCCACCTTCAACTGCACCCAGAGGCAGCCTTGGGCTTCTTGCCACCTCTGGCAAGATGGAAATCAGCACGTACCCTTCTTGATGACAGGAACAAACCCAACCCTCTGGTTTAATTATTTTTATTTTTTTTTTAGTGCAGCTCTGCTCTTTTTTTTTTTTTTTTTTTATTTTTCCTTGTTTTAAACCTTGTTTTTTTTTAGGGGCTGACCATGATGCAGCATTGTGCCCTTGCAGCCAAGAGGGCCAGTGGCATTAAGAGTGTGGCCAGCAGGTCAAGGGAGGTTCTCCTCCCTCTCTCTGCTTTGCTCTGGTGAGGCCACATCTGGAAAACTGGGTCCAGCTCTGGGCTCCCCAGTTCATGAAGGACCAGGAGCTATTGGAGAGAGCCCAGCACAGGGCACTGAGATGCTGAGGAGACTGGAGCGTCTGCCTGTGAGGAAAGGCTGGGAGAGCTGGGGCTGTTCAGCTGGAGAGGAGGAGCCTGAGGGGGGATCTGATCAGTGCTGATCAATATCTACAGGGGGTGTCAGGAGGGGGGGACCAGACTCTCCCAGTGACAGGACAAGGGGCAATGGGCAGAAACTGGAGCACAGGAGGGTCAAGTTAAACATAAGGAAAAACAGAACCCTGGGACAAGCTGCTGAGGGAATTGTGAAGTCTCCATCCCTGGTGACATTCCAAACCCACCTGGACCTGTTCCTGTGGGATCTGCTCTAGGGGATCCTGCTCTAGCAGGGGGTTGGACTGGATGATCTCCAGAGGTCCCTTTCAGCCCCTCCCTCCCCCGCTCTGGGATTCTGTCTGTACTTTCTCTGCTGTGTCATGCAGTTTGTTGGCAGCCGCAGCGCTTGTGTCAAAGCATTTGGGTTTCAGCCTTTCTCTGTCACAACACTGAGAAGGATTCCTGCCGTGGGGAAACGTGCTGAGCATCTGCTGGGATGATAAGTGTGGGTTTCGTTTTGACGTGGTTTCCACCAAAGATGTGACAGCCCCCTTGGATTTTCCAAAGCTGCTTCATCAGGAAACCTGACAAAAGTGGAGAGTAGGGCTGTCAAACGTTGTTTTTCTGAGCATGAATTAGTTGTCATGACAAGCTTTCCTGCTCCACGTCTCTGCTGGCTGCTGTTCCCAAAGCTCTGCCTTTGGGTGTGCTGGAGTGGGAAAACCCTGGATTCATCTGGGGAAGATGGTGGAGTTTGCATTGCTGGGAGCTTGTAACAGCTTCATTTCTTCCTGGTAGCCAAGTGACTTCAGTGCCTTCCAGCCAGGTTTTCTGTGATACTGAGGGTTTGGGAAAAATAAAATACTATAGTTTATGTAGATGGAACTTTAAACACTTGGACAACCATGCAACTACAGAGTACTTGGATTTAAGTGTTTTGGGCAAAAAGCTGGGTCTTGTGTTCCATCTGGGCTTCCCACCCAGGCTCACTGCAGGCAGGATTTGTCCCAGGGACTGTGTTGGTCTGTGTCACAATCCCAGACTGGTTTGGGTTGGAAGAGACCTTAAAAATCATCCAGTCCCAACCCCCTTCATGGGCAGGGACACCTCCCACCAGCCCAGGCTGCTCCAAGCCCCATCCAACCTGCCCTTCAACACTGCCAGGGATGGAGCATCGTCCTGGTCGATCTGGGACCTGGGGGTGACTGGGCAGCCTGCACCTCATGGCATTGGGAAGAAACTCACTCTGAGTCCCATGGGAGTGCCCTGGTTTGAGTCCTCCATTACAGCCCGCTGTGCTAGGCAAAGATAAGAAAGGGAATTTGTGAGTGTAACTTCTGGAAAAGACTGTTCCTGTGTCACCCTCAGGAGCTGCTGCTGTGGTGTGAATGGAGCAGCTGCATCCGGTGGTATTTGGGAGGGTAAACTGTCCCTGCTCTCCCCAAAACAGGTTGGCTACTTCCTAGGAAATAGGGTCCAGGGTTTTGTTTTGTTTCCCAGGAAATATGGTCCCAGGGCTTTGTTCTGCAGCCATGGGCAGGGTTTGTGCAGCTACAGCCCGTGCCAACCGGCCGGGTTGGCCGCAGCCGCTCGTTGGGGTGGATTTATCTCATGTTTGACATGTTACCTCATGCTTAAGATGTTCTGAATAGCTGGGGGTACAATGATTGATATTCCAGCCTTTCATCAGCAGTAAATCCTGTGAGGGGTTTTCTTTCCTCACCTAATGTCAGTCAGGAGCTGTGTGCAAGGGCTAATGGAAAAAAAGGAAAAAGGAGGGGTGTTAAGGGCACGAATGGGAGAGGGGATTTTTTTCCCCTCTGTGTGTTGCTGAAAAGTTGCTTGGGGTAGAGCAGGCTCACTGGCAAAACTGGTTTCACAGGGGAGGAGGGGCTGCAAAGCTGTCACCTCCATCCTGTCTCACCTTGGGTTGCTCTGGATTCAGTGGGAATCCCTTTCCCCATCCATGCCCAGGCCGCCTGTGGCAGCAGGATGCTTCCTAGTGCAGGCACAGGGTTTTGAGAGGCTGCTCCTCCAGTGGGGTTTTCTTGGCTCTCTTTGGTACCACCTGTAGGTCATGGTTGAGCTGAGGGAGGTGAGAGATGAAGAGGTGTCCTGCCAAAGGCTGCTCTGATGGAGAACAGCATGTTCCTAAACCATCAAACCACTAAAGCTTCACCAAAAAACACCTTGGCTTGGAGCTTGCAGGGTGGAGCTCGATGACCTTGGGTGCAACCTTTGGCTGGCAGGTGTGTTTCTGGTGCTGTGAATTTTCTTTCTGACCTCACTGTTGTCTCCCCAACCCGTGCAGCTCTGACGTGGAATGCCATGGCCAGTTCCTCAGACAGTGAAGATGATGGTTTCATGGCTGTGGATCCAGAAGATGCTGTGGTGGAAGGGACAATGGAGCAAGATGATGAGCCACATCCTGAGCTGGAGGTGGAGGAGACCAGGCATAACAGATCAATGCTGGAACTCCCAGAAGAGGTTTTGGAATACATCCTCTCCTTCCTTTCACCCTACCAGGAGCACAAAACTGCTGCCCTTGTCTGCAAACAGTGGTATCGACTGATCAAAGGTACAACCAGCTGCAGTGACACTGCAGTATTTTAGTTGTAGGGCCACAGATTCATATCCCAGCTGCTCTTTGCTTTAGCCTCACCTCTTGGGGTTTTTTCCCCCCTTTACCTCAAAATGTCACTTCTGCAAAATGCCAGAAAAAGGCCTCCAGCCATCAGGTCACTTGCTTTGCTGAAGGTGTTGCTAAGAACAGCACAGGATTGGAGCTGTTGGAGCAGGTCCAGAGGAGGCCAGAGAGATGATCCAAGAGAGATGATCCTGGAGACAGGCTGGGAGAGTTGGGGTGTTCAGCCTGGAGAAGAGAAGGCTCCAGGGAGACCTTAGAGCACCTTCCAGTGCCTGAAGGGGCTCCAGGAAAGCTGGGGAAGGACTTGGGACAAGGGCAGGGAGCGATAGGACAAGGGGGAATGGATGAAAACTGGAAGAGGGGAGATTTAGGTTGGACATGAGGGGGAAACTCTTTGAGGATGGTGAGAGCCTGGCCCAGGTTACCCAGAGAAGCTGTGGCTGCCCCATCCCTGGCAGTGTTGAAGGGCAGGTTGGATGGGGCTTGAAGCAACCTAGGCTGGTGGGAGGTGTCCCTGCCCATGCAGAGGGGTTGGATCTAGACGATCTTTAAGGTCCCTTCCAACTTTAACCATTCTATGATTCTATGGTTGATTCCATGCTTCCATGATTCAGCCCCTCAGCCTCATTTGAAAGATGAAATAGTGAAACCCCAAAGGCTCCACAGCAGAGCTGCTTGGTTATGTTTCTTCTGAATGCTCCCCTTGTGTCCAGGCTTCCCCTCCAGCACCCCCCAGTGCTGATGTCCCATCTCTTAAGTGCCTGTAATTGTGCTTTTAGTCTTGCTCAGTAATTAAGGTTCCAGAAGGTGACTGGAAACAAAACAGTGTCTGGCTCTGACAGTTCCACTGCAGATAAGTGGTGTAGAACATCTACATGTGTATAGATCTACATATTCAGACTTCCTGAAACAGTAGCCCTGAGACACAGATATTTCCCTTTACCTCAGCATTAACTCCCAAGCCTTACAGGGATATTTTAATGCTAGATACACATGATATGACAAACAGGCAGGGAAAGTTTGGACAAGGATACAAGCAAAGCCACCTTCTATGGTGTTTTTTTCAATTGGTGGGGTGAATTCTGTTCCATTTCTGTTGAGGATGTACATTTTGATGGGAGGTTTCATTAAAAACCCAGTAGTTTTAAGAGGAAACCCCTCTTAAACCCCCAGGTAAATTTACCCCCAGGTAAATCTGCATTAAATTAAGCACAAGGGTAACTTGTTTCTCCTGGAGGAAGCAGAGCAGGGGTCAGGTGAGGAAAGCCTTCAGCAGGCCTGTGGGGTGAAGGCTCATTTGTGGGCTTCTCTGCACACCTGAAAGGTTTGCTCAGACTCCAGGTGTTTTCTGCCTTGCCCAGAGGTGAACAGGCAAGAGGTTAAAAAAACTCCAGCTTCTCCAGAAATGAGCATTGCACAGAATTAATCTATTTGCCTTATTTTGGGGCATCAGCAGCAGCCTGCACCCCTTCTGAAAGGCTTTTCAAGTGTTCATGGCCCTTGAATTGGTGCTTGGGTGAAATTTCTCACACGTGCTTGTTCCTGGAGCAGCCTTAAGAGATGTCAAGGATGCAGCTGGAATGAAAAAGTACCTGGTGATTCATCCCAAAAGAGGCTGTGGGAAACATCCCTGGAGTGGAGGGATGAGCACCCACGTGGCACTGGAGTGAGTTGTCCCAGTCTCGGGGTGGGTGGTGCTGGGCAGCCCTGCTGCTTTTGTGGCAATTCTAGCAAAAATTGAAAAAAGGGACTGCAATTGCCAACCTGCTGACTGAGAGGCAGAGAGGTCACTTGAGGTAAAGGCTGGATTTTCTTCTGGTGAATTTTTCCTGTTTGTCAGGATGCATCTGCTGTCAAATCCTACAGCTCAGATTGCATTTCCCATGTGACTCTCGGGGACCAGCTGCCTGAGGACCTCGGGCTTCTTGGTGTTTGGGTTTGTTTCTTTGTTTTTGATTTGTTTTTTTTTGGTTTTTTTAAATTTTATTTAAATAAACTTCCTGCTTTATATCCCAGAGTGGGGGTGTTCCTGGCATGGGGCTTTCAGTAAGGAAGTTCTTGTGGGGGTGGATGAAAACTGTTGGCAGGTTGTGGCATCCTCAGTGCAAGTGCTGCTGCAGCAGAGTGGGGACATTGGGCATCTGTGACCTGCTGGGGATGTAAATCTTCACCAGACCCTTTTCCTGCCCCAAGGAACAGCCTCTGGCCCCTCTTAGCACAGACACGTGTGCTTCACACACAGTTAATTGCAGCTCTGGGGCTTGTTTGCTCCTTGCAGGAGCTGTCAGCCAGATCCTCCCCTCGTGTGGCTAAGGAAGAATGTTTTCCTAGAAGCATGGAATGGTTTGGGTTGGAAGGGGCCTTCAGGATCATCCAGTGCCAACCCCCTGCCATACCTCCCACCAGCCCAGGTTGCTCCAAGCCCCATCCAACCTGCCCTTCAACACTGCCAGGGATGGGGCAGTCACAGCTTCTCTGGGCAACCTGTTCCAGGGTCTCACCATCCTCAAACAAAGAGTTTCCCCCTCATGTCCAACCTAAATCTCCCCTCTTCCAGTTTTCATCCATTCCCCCTTGTCCTCTCCTGCCCTGCCCTTGTCCCAAGCCCCTCCCCAGCTTTCCTGGAGCCCCTTCAGGCACTGGAAGCTGCTCTAAGGTCTCCCTGGAGCCTTCTCTTCTCCAGGCCGAACACCCCAACTCTCCCAGCCTGTCTCCAGAGCAGAGCTGCTCCAGCCCTTGGATCATCTCTCTGGCCTCCTCTGGACTCTCTCCCACAGCTCCTTGTCCTTCTTGTGTTGGGGACCCCAGAACTAGCCCCAGCCCTGCAGGGGGGTCTCACCAGAGCAGAGGGGACAATCCCCTCCCTGCTCCTGCTGGTGACACAACCCAGGACACGGGTGGGTTCTGGGCTCCGGCGCGCGGTGCCACCTCCTGTTCAGCTTCTCATGCACCATCACCCCCAAGTCCTTCTCAGGGCTGTTCTCCATCTCTTCTTCCCCCAGCCTGTATTTGTGTTGTCACACTGCTTATGCAGGCAAGGTTTGTTCCTAAAGAACCCCAGATGTTGCTGACACCTCGTTTGTTCCCCAGGTGTGGCCCATCAGTGTTACCACGGCTTCATCAAAGCGGTGCAAGAAGGAAACATCCAGTGGGAGAGTCGCACTTACCCCTACCCTGGCACCCCCATCACCCAGCGCTTCTCACACAGTAAGTACCTGCTGGGAAAAGCTGAGGTTTGGGACAGGGAGCTGCAGCCAGGGGTCTGCTCCATGTCCCCTGGGAGCTGGCAGTGCCACACGCCACGTTGCACCCGGCCGGGCTGACACGCAGCTCTGCCAACACCAGCACTTTGCACAGAGAGGGAATTCAGGAGCTACTTGGCCTGGGTATTGGCTCCTTGCTTGCAGGAAGAAGTGCCGCTGGAGCTCGGCAGGGAGTTTTGCTTGCTGGTTTTGTGGATTTTAAAAGCTTGTTTCCACAGTTCCCCTTCAAGTCTGGGCTTTGTTTTCCCTCAACAGAAACCTTGCACTGTCGTGACCAAATTGGGTAGGAGTCTTGACCTGCCTGAGGATAGGAAGGCTCTGCAGAGGGACCTGGCCAGGCTGGATCCAGGGGTTGAGGCCAATGAAGTTAAAAAAGGCCCAGGGCCAGGTCCTGCACTTGGGTCACACCAAGCCCCGGCAATGCTCCAAGCTTGGGGAAGAGTGGCTGGAAAGTGCCTGGTGGGAAAGGACCTGGAGGTGTTGGTTGAAAGTCTGAACGTGAGCCAGCATGTGCTCAGGTGGCCAAGAGGCCACCAGCATCCTGGCTGGTGTCAGCACTGGTGTGGCCAGCAGGAGCAGGGCAGGGATCATCCCCCTGTGCTGGGCACTGGGGAGGGGACACCTGGAATCCTGGGGTCAGTTCTGGGCCCCTCAGCACAAGAAGGACATGGAGAGGCTGGAGCGTGTCCAGGGAAGGGCAAGGGAGCTGGGGAAGGGGCTGGAGCACAAGTGTGAGCAGGAGCAGCTGAGGGAGCTGGGGGTGTCCAGCCTGGAGACAAGGAGGTGAGGGGAGACCTGCTGGCTCTGCAGCTGCCTGAGAGGAGGTTGGAGCCAGGGGGGTCGGGCTCTGCTCCCCAGGAACAAGGGATGGGACAAGAGGAAATGGCTTCAAGTTGTGCCACGGGAGGCTGAGGTTGGATCTTTGGAACAATTCCTTTCTGGCAAGGGTTGTCAGGCCCTGGCCCAGGCTGCCCAGGGCAGGGATGGAGGTGCTCATTCAAAAGCCACGTAGATGTGGCACTTCAGGACATGGTTAGTGGGCACAGTGAGTTTTTCTGGGCTGACGGCTGGACTCTGTTGTCTTAGAGGTCTTTCCAAGCATGAGTGTTCTCTGACTGTGCCTGGAGTCTGGTGGTTCTCAAAGTTGATGAGTTTGCATCCCTGCAGCACTTGGGGAGCATATCGTGGCTGCTTGTACAGCAGATCAGCTCCTACATCTGTGAGCAGGTGGGGAGGGGCTTTGGGCAAGGACAGGAAGTGATGGGATGAGGCGGATGGATTAAAACTTGAAGAGGGGAGATTGAGGTTGGACATTTGGAGGAAGTGCTTCCTTGTGAGGGTGGTGAGAGCCTGGCCCAGGTTGCCCAGGGAAGCTGTGGCTGCCCCATCCCTGGCAGTGTTGAAGGGCAGGTTGGATGGGGCTTGGAGCAACCTGGTCTGGTGGGAGGTGTCCCTGCCCATGCAGGGGATTGAACCTATATGATCTTTAAGGTCCCTTGCAACACAAACCAGTCTGGCATTGTGTGATCCCATGATTTTAACTGGTGAGCTTTAAGACCAGATAGAAATCACCTGAAAAAGACCCAAGTGTTGCAGCAATGACCCTTCTCTGCTCTTTCCTTCATTCTGCTGCCCAGCAGGGGCTTCCTCTGAGCTTGCTGCTGTTAAACTTGGTCCAAAATGAGGTTTTTCATACTAAACCCACTGCCCTGGAAGCTTGTAACCTGTGTTATTCTCTGTTTGTCAGTGCCCTGGCCCTGCTCAGCCCTCACTCACTTCAGAATTGTTTATTAATGCACTTTGTGCACAGAAAGCTCATCTGGATTAACTTGTTTGCTGACTTCAACTGATTTTCCTTTCAAGCAGCTCCACATCTGTGGTATCTGCTCTCCCTGCAACCAAGCCCTGCAGGTCTCTGGGTGGATTCCAATATTAAACTGAAGCTACGAATGATTAATTGCAGAAATTCAGACTGAATCTCTAAATATCTCTCAAATACAAAGGTGCTGTGAACCAAGCTGGAGGCAGACCAGGGGGAAGGGAATGAGGGAGGATTCACATCCCCCTTTTTCAGGGATGAGTGATTTGCCAGGTTTGGTAGGAAGACGTCACCGAGCAGGCATGAGTCATTTGAAGTCAACAGGCTGGCAAAGGAGGGGCCAGGGTTGTCTCTCTTCCAGGATTTATTAGAAATATCCCAGAAATGTTCACAGCAAGCATAAAAAGACAAACAAGAGAATTTTAAATAGTTGGAGGTCACAATGTCTTCTGTCAGTTCCGAAGGGAGTCACAGAAAAACTCTTTGATAAGGAATAATTAATGGAAGTCACTGTCATCTCGTGGGGGAGGGAGCTTTTGGCAGGGTCTTTGATCATCCAACAACTGATAACAGACTTTATGGATGAGCTGTGGGTTTTCTGAAGGCTCTGAAGCTGTAGAACATCAGACAATACCACTGATGCTGGTTTTTTTAGCTCCAAACTTCCAGGAAGAAATACTTGAGGCACGTTGGGTTGATTTTTTTTGAGCTGAACCCCAGGTATCATGTTCACAGCAGTCACCTCATTCTTTTCTAGCCCTAACGTGTGACCCTGCAAACATCATAGCAGGACAGTGACTCATGGGGTGAAATAACTGGATGGCAGGAGACACAGGAATGCAGGAATGGAAAAGCAGCAACCATTGGGTCAGAGATATTGATCCTTTGATGGCAAAGTGACTCATCTGAAACACTGGATCTTTCTTTCTCTTTTCCCAGGATGATGAGTAATTAAAACAATTCCCTGGGTTTGCCCTCAGAGGCAAGGGAGAGGTGGAAGCTGGAATGTTGTTTGTTTTACAGGGGTGGGCTGTTTCTCTGCTCTTGGATGGCCCAGCTTTGCTCAACTGATCGTTACCTTTCGGCTGCCTTGAGTCCCTGCTCTGCAAGGAGCAGGAAAGGGTGGTGTAGAGAATAAGGAGGTAGAGCATAGAATCATCGAGTCATGGACTGGTTTGGGTTGGAAGGGACCCTAAAGATCATCCAGTCCCATCCCCCTACATGGGCAGGGACACCTCCCACCAGCCCAGGCTGCTCCAAGCCCCATCCAACCTGCCCTTCAACACTGCCAGGGATGGGGCAGCCACAGCTTCCCTGGGCAACCTGGGCCAGGCTCTCACCACCCTCACAAGGAAGCACTTCCTCCTAATGTCCAACCTAAATCTTCCCTCTTCCAGCTTAAAAACATACTCCCTCGTCCTCTCACTACAGACCCTTGTAAAAAGTCCCTCCCTGGCTTTCCTGTAGGGATGTGGGATGTTACTGTTTCTTTTCCTCCCCCTGGAGACCCGAGTTTGCTGAGGGCTGGTGCATTTTTATCGTGCTGCAACTTGCAGTATAGGTTGGTGTACCCATGGGTGCCAGCAGCAGGTCTGGGTGCTTTCATCTGCAGCCCAATCTCACACACAGAGTGGTCAGGGTTGGAAGGGACCTCTGGAGATCATCCAGTCCAACCCCCTACTAGAGCAGAATCCCCTAGAGCAGATGTCACAGGAACACATCCAGGTGGGGTTGGAATGTCTCCAGTGAAGGAGACTCCACAACCTCCCTGGGCAGCCTGTCCCAGGGCTCTGGCACTCTCACAGGAAAGAAGTTTTTGCTTATGTTTAACTTGAACCTCCTGTGCCCATCCTGGCTCTTGTGGCAAGAGCTGTTACCAGCCCCAGCTCTGCCTTAAGGGAGCAGTGCCAGGGTGGCAGGGTCCTGCTTGGAACACCAATGCCCAGGGTTCTCAGCCTCTCACCACAAGCCTCCCATGCTCTTTGCAGCCCAGGGCTGTGTTGCAATGAGATTTCAAGAGCCAAGCTGAATCTCACCCCTCTCCCTGATGGGGAAAATACAACCTTTGGACTTGGATGGGTTACTTTATTTGATGTACTGTGAGTTTTAAAAGTCAATGCCCTTTAATCAGTGCCAGGGGTTTGTGTTCAGTATTCCCTTCTCAGTTGATCTTTATTTCAATTATCTCACACTCTGGGTGAAAGTTCCTGATGCTTTGCTGTGCAGCACAGGGGGGAAGGCAGGAACACGTTGAGAACAAGCTGCTTTGTGTTGTCTTTGGGTATCAGCATCTTGAAACTTCAGAAACATTCTCTTCAATTCCACTTCCGAAGATACACCAGCTCTTCAGAACCAAAACTCTGGGACACACTGAATTTTACTGGGACCTTAGTGGGTTTTCTTTTTAAAAAGCCACTTAAAAAGCCACCCAGTGATCTCCAGCTAATAGTTTTCCACCCAAAAAAAGGAGCAGAAGGCACCAGGGACTCACACCCTCCTGCCCTAATTTACTCCACACCTTTGCAAGGCTGCTATAAACTGAAATTTGTCCTTGTGCATTTTTCCCCAAATTCTTTTGTCCCCCCAAATTAATCTGTTGTGTATGTCAGGACATACTTAATGGTCATCGAATGGTGACTCCTGCTCTCTCTGAGCTCCAGCTGGTTCTGTTCAGCCTTCCCAGAGGATTGAATCATGAAATGGCTTAGGTTGGAAGGGACCTTCAAGATCATCTAGATCTAATCCCCCTGCATGGGCAGGGACACCTCCCACTAGACCAGGTTTCTCAGATCTTCTTGGGGGAAAAAGAAGAAGAATTTTCCAGAAAACCCAAGAACTGAGATATTCAGGCTGCACTGGGTCAAGGGAGGATTTAATTTCAAGCACGGACTTAATTTCAAGCACGTTGTCATCAGAGAGTCAGATGGTCACCTGGCCCATTGGAGAGTGCAAAGGCAGAAGAACTTGCTGTAGATTCCCCAGACCAGCAGCTGGAGTCACCTTTGCTCCTCAGTCCCTGTGAACTTGAGACCCAATGCCAAAATGTCCATGAAAGCTGTCCCCAGAGGATGAGCTTGCTCCTCCAGTGTCACGAAAGGGCACTCATCCTGCTTCCAGAGATGGACAAGGTGTGGTGGGGATCTCAAGAACACAAGAGGCTGGGGCTCATCATACCAAGTCTTGTTGCATTTGAGAAAGGAAATGCAGAAACTGGGAAACCTCCTGAAACTGCAGGGGTTGAACTTTGTGACCATGTTTGAGGTTTGCTTCTCCTCAGCGGATCAGCTGAGCAAACCTCTCTGCTCTGTCTGATTTCCCATTTACATCTTATCAGAGCTGCCCGGGTTCCACAGGACCCACAGGCAGAAACTTACATGCTATTTTGGATTTGCTGCAGAATTTGGTTTGAGGCCCAAAGCTCTTTATTTCCCCGAGTATCTCTCAGGGGTTGTCAAGTGTCACGTTCCCTCCCTGTTCCCCTTTTTGCTGCCCAATCCTAGGGAGTTAGGGGAATCCCAAGGGGATGTTCCTGTAAGATCCCTGTGTTTCAGTGGTGCTTTTTTGTGATGGGTTAAGGTGAAACAAATGAATGCCAATATCTAGAGGAGGATGACACCACTCTTCTTAGTGGTGTCCAGTGACAGGACAAGGGGCAATGGGCACAAACTGGAGCACAGGAGGTTTAACCTGAATATAAGAAAATAATTCTTTACTCTGAGGGTACCAGAGCCCTGGGACAGGCTGCCCAGGGAAGTTGTGGAGTCTCCATCCCTGAGGACATTCCAAACTCACCTGAATGTTCCTGTGGGATCTACTCTAGGGGATCCTTCACTAGCAGGGGGTTGGACTAGATGATCTCCAGAGGTCCCTTCCAACCCCCACCACTCTGGGATCCTGAGAAATGCTGTCAGCTTTGGGAACAGGGCATAGCAGCCAGGTCGAGGAACACAGGCCACTTTCTTAGTCTAATTTGGTGACCTTATCACCCGCATAAAGCAGCTCAGAGAAGTGTGCTGAGCATGTTCATCCTGCCTAATCTAATTAACTACAAGCTCCTAAGGCAGCTTTTGTTTGCACTTTCAGGAGCAGCTCTGCTTGAGAGGATAATCTCCTCGGAAGGTTCTTGCTGGAGGTTTAACAGCAGGCAGGGATACCCCTGAGCTGCCCTGTGGTTTTACTGAACTGGAGACAACCTGTCTGCTTTCCTCCTGCCTGAAACCCGGGGGGTGGAGGGGGAAAGATGAATATGGTCTTTTTTTTTTACCCCAAACCACAAAGGTCAGAGAACCTTGGCTGATCTGTGGCGTGTTGTTTTCCCAGGTGCGTGTTACTACGACGCCAACCAGTCCATGTACGTCTTCGGGGGCTGCACCCAGAGCAGCTGCAACGCGGCCTTCAACGACCTCTGGAGGCTCGACCTCAACAGCAAGGAGTGGATCAGGCCCCTGGCTTCAGGTGAGCTTCAAAAAGGCCAAGGTCCTGCACCAAAATAGGAACAGTCCTTGTTGTCCATTCAGGCTGGGGGATGAGGTGATAGAGAGCAGCCCTGTGGAAAGGGGCTTGGGGAACTGGGGGAGGAAACGTTGGACATGAGGAAACAATCTGCACTTGTAGCCCAGAGGGCCAGGGGCATCCTGGGCTGGGCTGCCTCAAAACCAGCATGACCAGCAGTTCAGGAGAGGTGATTCTGCCCCTCTGCTCTGGTGAGACTCCACCTGGAGAGCTGTGTTCAGCTCTGGAGCCCTCAACACCAGAGGAACATGAATCTCTTGTAATGAGTCCAGAGGAGGCCACGGAGGTGATCTGAGGGCTGGAGCAGCTCTGCTGTGGAGCCAGGCTGGGAGAGTTGGGGTGTTCAGCCTGGAGAAGAGAAGGCTCCAGGGAGACCTTAGAGCACCTTCCAGTGCCTGAAGAGGCTACAGGAAAGCTGAGGGAGGGACTTGCGACAAGGGCAGGGAGGGATGGGATGAGGGGCAGTGGCCTTAAACTAGAGCTGAGGAGATATAGATTGTGTATCAGGAAGAAGTTCTTTACAAGGGTGGTGAAGCACTGGAATAGGCTGCCCAGAGGTGGAGGGGTGGAGGCCCCATCCCTGGAGACATTCAAGGTCAGGCTTGGCCAGGCTCTGAGCAACCTGATCTAGTCAAAAAGGTCCCTGTGCACTGCAGGGGCATTGGACTAGAGGACCTCTATAGGTCCCTCCCAATCCTACACATTCTATGATGTGGAGCTGCCCCATTGCTTCATCAAAACTCACCTCCCCTGGGCTGCCTGGTTTGATTATTTATTTCCCTGCATGTTTTCTCATTATCTGACTGGTTTCCAGGTTATATCCTTTTGGGGTTTGGGTTTTTTTGCCACGTATCCTTATGCCTGCAGCACCACACTGGGTTGTGTCTCTCCTTAGGTTGGATGTTAGAAAAACTTCCTTACAGAAGGGGTTATTAAGCACTGGAATGGGCTGCCCAGGGAGGAGGTTGAATCACCATCCCTGAGTGAGTTCATAAATCACATGGGTATAGTGCTTAGGGACATGGTTTAGCAGTGGGCTGGTAGAGCTGGGTTAGTAGACTTAGGTTAAGGGTTGGACAGGATGATTCAGGTTGTAACAGGAGAGGTTTCCACTGGATTTTAGAAGAAAATTCTTCACTGAAGGTGTTAAAGACTGGGACAGGCTGCCCAGGGAGGTGGTTGAATCACCATCCCTGGAGGTGTTGAAAAGCTGTGTAGATGTGGTGCTTAGAAATATGGTTTAGCACTGGACTTGGTAGACTTAGGTTAATGGTTGGTAGAGTTGGATGAACATGTTGGACTGGATGATCTTGGAGGTCTTTTCCAACCAGAACAATTCTGTAGTTCTGTGGCCTTTCAGGTCTTTTCATATAGAATCCCAGAACAGTTTGGGTTGGAATGGACCTTAAAGATCATTAGAATCATAGAATCATCAAGATTGGAAAAGACCTTAAAGATCATCAAGTCCAATCGCCTGCCCTACAACTCCTAAACCATCTAGATCCAACCCCCTGCACGGGCAGGGACACCTCCCACCAGCCCAGGCTGCTCCAAGCCCCATCCAACCTGCCCTTCAACACTGCCAGGGATGGGGAAGCCACAGCTTCTCTAGGCAACCTGGGTGAGGGTCTCACCACCCTCACACCTGAACGATTCCATGATTCTGATCCTTCCTCTGGCACAGCCACTCGGTGCTGGTTCATGCTGAGCAGGATGAGTGACACTTACTGCAGCCACAAGAGCCTGTGTTGATAAGACTTGTTGTCCCAACACTTGAGATTTTATGGCTTTTTTAATAACTTTGGTAGCTGCCACTTCAGGTATTTAGAGGAGTGGAGAAGACATGCCTGTGCGGGCTGCCCACAGCCACCCGGAGAGCGTGGGAAAACAGGTACATTCCTGCAGTCCACGTGCTCCCAGCAGGGCAGGAAAACACCACAAATGATTTCCCACACTGGTTTTGGTACTCCAAGTGTCACACATGGCTGCTTGTTCTCCTTCTATTTCTCAGTTGGACCAAAATCACTTTGAGCAAAGCAGAGGAATCTAGATGATCTAGATGATCTTTAGGGTCCCTTCCAACTCAAACAAGTCTGGAATTCTATGACAGAATTCTGTGAAAACCCAGATGTTCCTGCTGTCACCAGGGAATTGATCAGTTGTCACTTGGAAATGTTAATGTGTAACTCAGTGCTTGATGGCTGCTCTGTGGGTATCAGTCTGTGTAACCCTTAACATTTTGATTTGATTTTTGCATCTACATGTCCACTGGATGATGCCAACAGTTGAGAATTAACAGCCATGAGCTTCAAGCAGGGGAAGAAAACAAACTGCAGCCTCCGTGTGTGGAAACCGCTCTCACTCTTCCTCCCTCCCTGCCACAGCACTTTCATAGAATCCCAGACTGGGTTGGGTTGGAAGGGGCCTTTAAAATCATCTAGTCCCAACCCCCTGCATGGGCAGGGACACCTCCCACCAGCCCAGGTTGCTCCAAGCCCCATCCAACCTGCCCTTCAACACTGCCAGGGATGGAGCAGCCACAGCTTCCCTGGGCAACCTGGGCCAGGGTCTCACCACCCTCACAGTGAAGAATTTCCTCCTCACGTCCAACCTCGGTCTCCCTTCTTCCAGTTTAGTACCCTTTGTCCTCTCCCTCCCTGCCCTTGTCCCAAGTCCCTCCCCAGCTTCCCTGGAGCCCCTTCAGGTACTGGAAAGTGCTCTGAGTTCTCCCCGGACACAGCTGGGACCACCCCCAACTCTCCCAACCTGTTTCTGGAGCAGAGCTGCTCCAGCCTGCAGATCATCCTCATGGCCTCCTCTGGACTCTCTCCAGTAGCTCCACATCCTTCTTATATTTCCCTCTGCTCAGGGGTGGAGGAGAGGCCACGGGCAGCATAAACAGGATACCAGGCTCTGCAGACCTCTGCTCTGACCCAGGACATCTATTCTTGCAGCTTGGCTAAGTTCTTCCGTCGGGTTGAATGCAGGGCACGACTCTCGGCCGCGCCGCGTCCAGCCCCGGCACCCACCTCTGCTCAGTCACCCTCCCAGCATTTCACCCCCGTCCAATTTCTCCCTGCCTTCCTAAACAAAAAGAACACTTTGAAAAAGAACGGGTCCTGTGGGAATATGTGTCAGAGTGAAGTCCCATGGGAAGATCCCCTGAGGAGATATTTCTGCATGTTGTCAGGAGCGAGATGGGATCACAACTGAAACTTCAGGCAGGCTGGGGGAACAGAGAGCGCTCTTGTTCCTCCGAGATGAGTCACCCCCCTCTTGTGCCCCTGGTGGTTTCTTAAATGTAGCTGCTTTTTTTAAAAAAAATTATTTTCTTTATTATTTTTTGATGTGCTCTTAACCCAGAGGGTTGACACCCACTGCCTGGGAAAGAACAGTGACTGGAGGGGGTAAAAGCTTTGAAGCTTGGGAGTCGGACATAAATACGGCATCAGGGATTGATTTATTTTTTTGTTTAATGAAAGAAAAGGTGACATTGATTGATGACCATGGGCTGTGTGTGCAGGGTAATTGCTAGTGGAGGCTGAGGAGGAGTTCCTATCCCTGGCCCTACAGACTTTCTAGGGTAGGTCTTGCTCCTGAAGAAGACAAGCAGCTTTTCCACAAGGCCAGCGTGCTTGGGATTGCCCTGATCTAGGTGCAGGACCTTCCACATGGCCTTAGTGAACTTCATGATGTTAAAATGTCTCTTCTCCCAAGTAACAAGTGATAGAACAAGGGGGAATGGCCTCAAGTGGTGTGAGAGGAGGTTCATATTGGGTATCGGGAGCAATGTCTTTACTGAAAGAGTGGTCAAGCATTGGAACAGGCTGCCCTGTTGGAGTGGAGGCTCCTTGGTAGAGTCCCCATCCCTGGAGGTGTTCAAAAAATGTGTAGATGTGGCACTTTGGGAGGTGGTTTAGTGGTCACGGGGGTGTTGGTTTAATGGTTGGACTTGATCTCAGAGGGCTTTCAAACCTTAATGATTCTGTGGTTCTTGCTCAGAGAGCTTTGATCACTCTCTACTTGTGCCCTCATTAAGCAAGGACATCTTATCTAATGAGACCTGGGTAGGACGACCTAATCAGGAACATGGTGCCAGGGCCACCCTAAGTGCTTTTCAGATGAGCTCAAACAGCCTCATGCCTTTCCCTTCTCTGAAGGGCTTTTCCAGGAGAAAACACCCATTTGTCTTGTTGTTGTTTGTTCATACCTGGTTTTGTTTGGGTTTTCTTACTTGCAGGCATGAGATGACATCAGAGCTGGGTAATTCATCTCCAGCCTGAGCTGCAACACTTCATCTAGGAGTAAATATTTAGCCTTCAAAGAAATAATTGGTCCGTGTTTCTTTTAGTCTCAGTGAGGGAGGAGGGAGATAATTCCTTAAAAAAAAACAACTAATTTTTGAGGTTGCAAAGTATTTTTATGCTTAGATCTTCTTAAACAATGACACTGACTTTCTACTGATGAGGCTGAAGCAGAAGGAGAGGGTCGATGCCCAACTTTTATGTAGCTCTTTTTACTGGTGGGGCTTCAGGCTCTACAGAAGAGGCAGCAGGATCTCTATTTTAGGAATGCGAACAGGAAT